CCACTCGCTGCTTTTCGTGGCCCCCTTGCTGCCCTTCGTGGCCCCGTTGCAGCCTTTCGTTGCTCCCTTGCTGCTCTTCGTGGCCCCGTTGCAGCCCTTCGTGGCCACCTCGCTGCCCTTCATGACAGCGTGTAGCCTTCGTGGCCCCTCGCTACCCTGCGTGGCCCCGTTGCATGCCCTTCGTGGCCCCCCCCCCCGCTGCCCTTCGTGGCCCCGTTGCAGTCCTTCGTGGCCCGCTCGCTGCCCTTCGTGGCCCCGTTGCAGCCCTTCGTGGCCCCCTCGCTGCCCTTTGTCGTCCCGTTGCAGCCTTCCGTGGCCCCCTTGCTGCCCTTCGTGGCCCCGTTGCAGCCCTTCGTGGCCCCCTCGCTGTCCGTCGTGGCCCCGTTGCAGCCCTTCGTGGCCCCCCCTCTGCCCTTCGTGGCCCCATATGTATGCCCTTCGTGGCCCCAGCTTGTTCGCGCCCGTCGTGGCCCCATATGCATGCGCTTCGTGGCCCCGTCGCAGGCTTTCGTGCCCCCCTCGCTGCCCTTCGTGGCCCCGTTGCTGCCCTCAGTCGCCCCGTCCTTGCCCTCCGCGGCCCAATACACGTATGCCCTTTGTGGCCCCCGCTCGTTTGCGCCCGTCGTGGCCCCTTATGCATACCCTTCGTGGCCCCGTTGCCGTGTGTGTGGCCCCCTCGCTGCCCTATGCGGCCCTGTTGCTACCCTCCGTGGCCCCGTCGTCGGCCCTTGTGGCCCCGCATTATCTGCCCTTCGTGGTACCCGCTTGTTAGCATTTTTCGTGGCCCCATGCGCATGCCCTTCTTGGCCCCGTTGTCGCCGTTCGTGGCCCCCTTCCTGCCCTTCGTGGCCCCGCCGTCGCTCTCGTTCTCGCTTTCGCTCTCGCTTTCGTTCGTCGCCGTCGTCGTCGTCGTCGTCGTCGTGGTTGGTCCCCTGTCCGTCCCTCTTTGGGTCGGGTTGCCACCGATCAGCGTTGCCGCTGGCCAGGCCGACGGTCCGCGGACGCCCCGCCGTTTGCCGTGGCCCAGCCTGCAGGGAAACAAAAATATACCCTTCAATAGGGGTACGATCGAAGACGAAGAGGGCGGATATCGAGATTTTGGGAAATACACGTTGGCGGACACTCGAACAGATAACATCGAACAGTCAACTGATTGTTGTTTTTGCTGTTGCTGTTGCTGTTGCTGTTGCTGTTGCTGTTGCTGTTGTTGTTGTTGTTGTTGTTGTTGTTGTTGTTGTTGTTGTTGTTGTTGTTGTTGTTGTTGTTGTTGTTGTTATTGTTGTTGTTGTTGTTGTTCAATGTTAAGTACTAAACACATATGTTTTGACCCCTTACAGGCGCCCTGGCGCTGTCGCCGAGGCGCCGGCTGCTTTTTCATTGAAAATGAAGCTCGCTCTCAAGCGGTTTGGGGGACCGCCAAAACAGCCCCCCCAACAACGACAACGCTCCCGTTCGAGATTTCTTCCTTTTTTGCTCAGGGCCGGTGCTCTTGCTCGCCGCCGCAAGGAGTCGTCTCAACAAAACCGGTGCTCCTTCTCGAGACTTCCTCCCGTTTTACCTCGGACAGGCGCGCTATTCTTTCTCTCATCGGCGCCGCCCCCCAGCAACAACAACGCTCCCGCTCGAGATTTCCTGCCTTTTTTATTTGAGGCGGTGCTCTTGCTCGTCGCCGACCGCCCCCGTCCCGACAAAACCACCAGCGCTCCCGTCCGAGATTTCCACCCGTTTTACGCTGGATTGGCGCCCTTTTCTCTTCCTCCTCCTCCTCGCCCTCGTCCACGTCCTCGTCCTCGTCCTCCTTCTCCTCCTCCTTCTCATCCTTCTCCTTCTACTCCTCCTCCTCCGCCTCCTCCTCCTGTTTTTGTCCTCCCTCATCCCTCCTCTTCCTCCCGTTTCCTTCCTTCACCCCCCCTTTCCTCCCTCCTCCCTCCTCCATCCCTTTTTCCTCCGTCCTCCTCCCTACCCCCTTCTCCTCCCTCTCCTCCTCCTCCTCCTCCTTTTCCTCCTCCTCCTCCTCGTCCTCCCTCCTGTTGCTCCTCCTCCTCCTCTTCCTTTTCCTCCTCCTCCTCCTCCTCTTCTTCCTTGTCCTCGTCCTTCTCCTTCCCCTCTCTCTTCCTCCCTCTTCCTCCCGCCACCCCCTTCTCTTCTCCCTTCTCCCTCCTCCCTCTCCCGTCCCCCTTTCCTCCCTCTTCCTCCCTCCTCCTCCCTCCCCCTCCCCCTTTCCCTTTTCGTCCCCCTTGTCTCCTCCCTCCTTCTGCCTCCCTCCTCCCTTCTCCTCCTCCTCCTCCCTTCCCCTTCCGTCTTCCCACGTCTCTCCATTTTGATATTTCCTTACATTTTATTCAGGACTGGGGCCCTCGTTTCGGCATCGCCTTTAGTAGGGGGCTTCCAAGAGTCCCTGTTAAACCTTACTTATTTAATACTTGCCATTTTTTGATGGCGTAGATAATGTGGAGGAGGAGGGGAAGAAGGAGGACGGATGACTTCCAGGGACTCCAAGGATCGAGGGTCGAAGGGTTGAATTCAGGGATTCCATGACAGGGTGTGGATGGGGCAGGTGGATGATGCGAACATGGGGGCGGCAGCGCCTGGGGGCGTGAACATTCAGGGTTACGCGCCGAGGCCGCAGGATGGTGGCGTAACAATTCGAACGAGGAGTATGAACGACCTCGTCCTCCTCCTCCTCCATCCTCCTCCTCCTCCTCCTCCTCCTCCTCCTCCTCCTCCTCCTCCTCTCTATCCCTCATCTTCCCTCCCCTTCTTGTCCTCGCCCTCCTCCTCCGAGATGCGGGGCGTGCGTGAGGCGATTGCGATGGCGATGTGCCGTCCACGCTGAGGATGCCGAAGTTCCTCGGAGGAGGTGGTGGCAATGCTCGCTTGGGCGGGAGATCTGGGCGAGGGAATATCGTGCCCCGCATGCCAGAACACCTCCTCCATGATGGGGTGTGGTGTCCAGAAGGATGCATGTGACTTGTGGAAGCGTGGCGCATGATGGTGATATGATTGTTGTTGTCGTTGGTGGTGGGCCCTGCACCTAGAGCTCCGCGCCCCCTCCAACAACTGGCAACCCCGGCAACCCCCCAGTGGGGGGTTGTTGGGGTTGCTAGTTGTCAGAGTTCCCGAGGATTCTTGTTGACCCCTGCGGCTTCCAGAAAGATTCCGGAGGGATTCCCATGGATTCGTAAGGGTTCTTAAGGGTTCTTGCAGGATTCCGGAGGGCCCCTGGGTGATTCCTAAGGATTTGTACTGGTTTAGAGGGATTCATTCGGATTCTTCTTGATTCCGATGGATTCCCAGGGGTTCTCTGCGATTGCTAAGGAGTCCTGGGGATGCTTACGGACCCCAAGGGAGTCCCAGAGATTCTTAGGTATCCCTATGGATTCCTAAAGAGATCCCAGGATTCCGATGGGTGTCCATGGATTCCTAGGGGGTCCTAAGGGTTCCTAAGGATCCCGAAGGTTTCGTGGGGTTTCCCAGGGATTCAGGATTCGTACGAGTCTTGAGAATTCCTAAGGATTCTTCGGACGTCCAAGGGAGTGCTACGGATTCCTGATCATTCCTTTGGGATTCCTCAGGCTTCCTCAGAATTCTATTGTGAACATTAAGGGTCCCTTCGGGCTTTCCATGGATTCCGATGGGTTCCCATTGGATATCGATCGAATGTGCCCCTGGGGGGGGGCTGGGGTTGCTGGTGGTTGCTGGTTGCTAGGGTTCCTGAGGAGCTTCGCTTCCCTCCCTGGGGGGGGGGGGGGCCGAAGGCCCCCCTGGGGAGTTGCTGGGGCTTCTGGTTGCTAGGTTCCCTGAAAATTCTTCGCGTTCCTGAGGATTCTTGAAGATTCCGAAAGGATTTATGAAGGATTCCAGTGGATTCCCAAGGGTACCTGAGGGATTCTGGGGGATCTCGATGGATTCGTTGGGTGCCTATGTGTTCTCACGTATTCCTTAGGATTCCAACGGGTTTCCTAATGATTCTTATGGTTTCCTAAGGGTCCCGATGTATTAGTAAGGGATTCCTATGGCTTCTTAACGACTTCCAGGGATTCCTTCGGATTCGCCCATATGGAGAGCGACGTACCCGTAAGGATTCCTAGAGTTTCCTAGGGATTCTTTAGGATTCCTATGGGTTCCTATGGATTCCTAAAAGGTTCTTAGTGATTCCTATGATTTTCGAGGGATCCCTAGGGTTTTCTCGGGGTCTTTCGGGATCCCATGGGATTCCGAGGGGTTCCTAATGACCCCGAGCGATTCCTACGGATTCCCTTGTGGTTCCTAAGGATCCCTTAGGGATTTCAGACACCTGATGTGGATTCCATGGATTCCGATGGGTTCTGATGGAATATCGATCGAAGGCCCCCCTTGAGTATTGCTGGGTTTGCTGGTTGTTCAATTTCCTTGGGATTCCGAGGAGTCCACATGGATTCCCAAGGGTCCCTTAGGATTCTCGAGGGATTACTGAGGGACCCCCACGGATTCCCCAGGATTCGTTTGGATTCCCATGGGTTCTTCCGGATTCCTGTATTCCTATGGATTCCTAATAATCCTTAGGCAGTCCTCGGGATACCAATGGTTTCTTAGGAATTCCTAGTGTTTCCCAAAGGATCCTTATGTATCCCTATGGATTCCGCAGTATTCTTTTGGATTCCGAAGGCTTCCTATGTTTTCGTATGGATTCCTATAGATTTCTATGGATTCCTGGGGGTTCCTGGCGATTATTTGGAATATCTATGACTTCTGGTGGATTCCGATGGATCCCTACGGATTCAGGAGGGTTCCTTCTGATCCCTCGGGGGTCCTGCGGGTTCGTATGGATTCATACGGATTCCCATGGGTTCCCAAGGATTCCGAGGGATCCTTTTGGGATTCTCATGGATTCATATGGATTCCGAAGGATTCCGATGGATAATCCATCGAGGTTGCTAGGATGCCAGAGGATTCCTGCGGATTTCGTGGGGGACCCTCCCCACGGAATCGCCGCTGCCGCCGACCGCTCCCCTCCCGAGGTGACGCGAGGATGGGCCCGGGCCGACGCCCGGCCCGAGTGGCGGCGCGCGCGCGCTCTTCTCCTGCCGGCCGCGCGGGGAGCGGCCTTCCCTGGCTGGGACCCCATGGGGCGCTCGCTTGTTATGCGGGGGGGGGAGGGAGGGAGGGAGGGAGGGAGGGAGGCAGGGAGGGAGGGTGACAGGGAGGGGAGGGGGGGAGGGATGATGATGATGATGATGATGATGATGATGATGATGATGATGATGATGATGATGATGATGATGATGATGATGATGATGATGATGATGATGATGATGATGATGATGATGATGATGATGATGATGATGATGATGATGATGATGATGATGATGATGATGATGATGATGATGATGATGATGATGATGATGATGATGATGATGATGATGATGATGATGATGATGATGATGATGATGATGAATGATGATGATGATGATGATGATGAGATGATGACTGATGATGATGATGATGATGAGATGATGATGATTATGATGATGATGATGATGATGATGATGATGATGATGATGATGATGATGTGAATGGTGATGATGATGATGTGATGATGATGATGATGATGATGATGATGATGATGATGATGATGATGATGATGATGATGATGATGATGATGATGATGATGATGATGATGATGATGATGATGATGATGATGATGATGATGATGCTGATGCTGATGATGATGATGATGATGATGAATGATGATGATTATGATGATGATGATGATGATGATGATGATGATGATGATTGGTGGAGGAGGAGGAGGAGGAGGAGGAGGAGGAGGAGGAGGAGGAGGAGGAGGCGGAGGAGGGAGGAGGAACAGGAGCAGAGCGGAGGAGGAAGAGGAGGAGGAGGAGGGAAGAGGAGGAGGAGGAGGAGGAGGAGGAGGAGGAGGAGGAGGAGGAGGAGGAGGGAGGGAGGGAGGGAGGGAGGGTGTCAGTGGAACGTGCTTTCCACGGATCTCAGCCTTTCGCTTCGATATGTCCTTACAATCTGAGAGGTCTCTGAGCCTATGTCCACGAACGTGTCCTAAAGACGAGTCCAAGATACTCCCAAGATCGGCGGAGGGCACGTAGTGGCTGAAGATTGGCAGGATGTCGAGAAGAGAAACAAACACTCTGTTTAAGTAAACAATCCAGGATATCGCGTCTGGTCCCCCTGAGCTTCGGACCGAGGTGAGATACTGTAATCACCACTCAGGCCAGCAAACGGCTCGTGCCAAAGTTGCTATGGACGGAACAAGCAATTGGGCTCATTCACTGAGGGTTGTCATCCCTCTCTGTTCTTCTGAAACTGTTTCACTGTCCTCAACAGCTGAAACTGACATGCCCCGAACCGTCAGTGAAAGTCCTCAGTCTTTAGCTCAGGTAAGACACTCCATCTGTAGTCCATCTTGTCTAACTCCATCTCTATTGAGGCGTCGCGTCTTCCATCATCAGACGTCGTGCCTCCGGGTGTCGGTAGTCTGCCACGATCTCCGACTCCGTTTCGATCTACAAGTCATCCGGATAGAGTTGCCACACATTATCTTCATCCACTGCGAAGAACGTCTGCTGGTCGAGGGTGTCCATGCCTTTTTTCTTTCTGGCCTTCTCCGAAATAGAGTTTGCGTCGTAGATCAGCTTCCAGCTTCCTCTTTGCTGTCACAAGTTGTAGCTCGCCCTCGCCTTCTCGGAGTTCTTCGTCATACAGTCGCTTAGCTGCGCGCCACTGTGACACCACCTCAACTAAATTGCTGTCGCCGCCATGCCTCTTTTCAGAGCCAAGGCCTCCAGTGCACTCCTCTTGTCCTTCATGCCAAGCGCTCTGCTCTCCGACTTGTCCAACGCATCGAACACGCCACGGCAGTCCAGTACTAGAGCTCCTGGAATCTTCGCACATCCGGTCGCCCACTGCTTCAGAGGTGTCGGTCCCAGTAGAAGTTCGCTCAGCACCAGTCTGCAGAATTCCAGCTCCTCCTGCGCCTCGCTTGCCGCTTGTACTTCTGCCGCACTCGAACTCCGGCACACTCGAGGTAACTTTGCTGACGCCCACGCTATTAGCGAAATCGGCGTTTCCTTATTCTGCATCAGGCTGTAGTCCGTCATGAAGATCAGGAAGCCTCCCTGTGACGAACCATCTCGTCGAACATTCCAGGCGGCATCCGAATACCCAACGATACAAGGGTTGAGATGCTTCTCCATGATCAGCTCCTTCTGGACCTCTATCTTCGCTCTCCGGATCAGCTTGTTGGCCTGCAAGAGCGTGTTGATGGTGGCCGTGCTCGTGTACGCTAGCAGCAAGGACAGCTCTGCACATATCAGAGGTACTCCTTGAGTCGCCAACCACAGAAGCTGTCCTAGGAATGCTCGAAGTTGGGTGGCCTCGCTCGAAGTAGCCGTTGACTCGATGTCCTTGCGGCGCTGCGTCAGTATGTCGATCTCCTTCAGCTCCTGCGCGTAGTCGACCATGTTGAGATGAATGCGTCCGCAAGTCTTTGTACGGCCGTCATACTCCTGTCTGATCCTCTTCCCACACTGCACAAAGCCTTGAGTCTCCCAACTGCCCTTCTCGTGGGCTTGATGAGGTCGTTGAAGTGCGTCCGCGGCAAACTTAGATGTGTTGTCGATAGCAAGCATGAAGTCGTCCACGTGAGCTACTGCCAAGCCGCACAACTTGTCATTCTTGTCGCGGAGATACCATAAGCACGGCTCGGTAATGGACTCGACCCAGCCCAGCTTTTCTATGTCCGTCCTCGCTCGGGACCACCGACGTGTTGGCGCGTTTACCAGGCCGTAGACTGCCTTCTTCAGCTTGATGCAATGATGGTGTTCCAGCTGCATTGCTTCCCGCAACTCCTTCACCGGCTCTGCCGGAACGTTACGATCTTCTTCTCCTAGATCCCCTTGGAGAAACGCGGCCTCGACGTCGCCATTGAACACCTGGAACCCCATCGACGCAGCGACTCCCAAGAACATATGTCTCGCTCTGCGGCTGCGCGTTGGTGATGTGGTCTTGATCTGGCCAAGGCTGGGATCGGTATGCCCTAGTGCGACGAGTCGGGTTTTCAGACCCACCGATTCCTTTCGAGTGATGACCCAGCGCATCTTCATCAGGGCTCCGGGATGTACTCCTGCTCGACTAGCCGCTTCGCAGACCTTGTACTTCAACGGCGACTTGATCTCGCTGCTCTTTGCCGCTGGCAGTTGAGCTCTTTCTTCCGGAGTAAGGTTCTTTAGCTTTACTTTTATTTTATTTTATTCTGCTTCACCAAGGCTGCAAGGGCTTTCTCCGGTTTCTGGTGCAGCAGGTTCACGTCATTGTCCTCCTTCTCGAATGCCACCGTGGCTGCCAGTGCTGAAGCTTCTTCTCCGACGTGACCTATCAGATTCTCCTTTCGTAACTTGTTGGTGTATTCCCAGGGGGCCTTCCATTCTTCTGATTCTCCTCCTTCGGGTTCCTCTCGCAGAGTACCTTGCAGCGCAACGAACGGTGCCTTCTTGTTGAGCTCTGCCAGATGGCCTAAGAAGTCGGCCCACTGACGTTTCACCTCGCGATCATCGGGAGGTTCTGTACTGGCTTCGCGCTTATTGATTACTTCCCGTGGTGGTTCGCTGTCCCACTGAGCTGGTCGAGCTGGTCGTGCAGGTGGGCGTTCGCCATTTCCCTTCTCGTCTTGACATGCCTCGCCTCCGTGCTCTTCATCCCCTTGACGAGGTCCTGGTGGAGATTCCTCTTCTTCGTGGTGACCTTCCTCTGCTCGGGCGGCTGGTTTGTGATCTGCTGGCGGCGCGTGTCCAGGTTGCTCGTCCGCTTCACCTTCTGGTATGTCGCCCTGTTCGTCAGGCCTGGCTTGGTCCACTAGGTCGTCGAACGAGCCCTTGGCGAGCTCCTGCATTATCTTCCTGAGATGATCTGAACTTCCCGCCGAGATGTTCTCCAGCGTCTGCTCTGCCCTCGTAGTAGTACGTAGGTGTGCTGAAGCGGCTCGCACCAGGCGATCGCCATCTACCAGCCGGACTATTCCTCTGCGCTCGCAAGCTCCATTCTTAGTCTCGCGCTCTTGCATGAGTATTGTAATTGGCCCGTAAAATCGTCCAGCCATGCCCTGTTTGGTCTTGTGACTGCTCCCATTGGAGCTTCGCCAGTAGTGTGCCTTCTCGCGTGGGCCGCCTGGTTCCCGCGTCTTGAACGGCCGCGTCTTCGCCAGCAGCGCCCTCTTTGTCTTCTCCGACAGGTAGTGGTCTACGCGCGCCCTGTGCGCTCCTCCTTGACCGCGGTGAGGTCCTCGAAGTTCTTGTCGATCAGGTGAGTGCTGAGCGCCGAGGGGTTATCTTCATCTTCCAGACCTTGCCCCGACGGGGTGCGACCCATCATCGGCGTGAACGGACTGTATCCTTTGTGACGCATCAGGCCGTTGTTCGCTGCACGTGCCCGCGTGAAAATCTCGTTCGGGTCGGTGTCGTCTGGGAGCCCCCACGCGATGCGATTCGCAATCTCTTTGATCGTCTCGATGCTCCTCTCGAACACACCCATCCCCCAGTGAGCTTCACCTGGTTCCGGTCGCCACTCGATGCCGTTGCCTGACGTCCAAGCGCGGTGCTCAGCTTGGCGAAAAACTTCAGGATCTGTGCGAAGTACCTCTGGTTTACCATAGTGCTGAATCCACGTGGTGAGAACCATCTCCTTCATCTCCTTGGCAGTGGTATTGCCGCAGCTCTCCAGCGCGCCTTTCTTGGTGAGGATCTGGCATTTGGCGAAGCGGCTTTCGTAATCTGCGCATGGCGTTCCACGAACATGATATGCTCTACGAGGATGAGTCCAGGGGAAGTTATCGCAGCCCAGCTCCTTCCCCGGCGGCGCCACCGAAGGTTCTGAACTCGCGATCGGCCGCAGTTGAAAACGTTGAGCTGTCTTGCAGGAGGGGCATTCGTAGTGGCTGCGCAGGTCGATGATCTTCTGATTGGCCTTCCTGCTCTGAAGGGCTGCCTCGGCTG